CGTATAAATGCCACGAGAAATGACATTCGTGCCATAGATACGAACTTTCATGAGATCGGGCTGGCAATTCCACAAATCTGGATGAGCTTCTGATGACCTTGTAGTCTCCCTGAGGAAAAATTCATTTTCAGGAAGGTTTGCTGCTATAGGAGAGGAAGAATTTAGCAAACTCGTTAATCCATCTAATCAACAACTTGTATCCTAGACCCTATACCAACTAAACTACTGAAAGAGATGCTTTCGGATGTTATAGATCCTCTTCTTAATATCATCAATTCGTCTTTGTCGCTATAAAACCTTTAAGCTGTCTATGATGAAACCGCTTGTTAAAAAATCGCAACTTGATCCTACAGAAATCAATTACAGGTCAAATCTCGAATCTGCCTTTTCTGTCAAAGAAAGCAGTATCCTCACAACTGTGTTCCTTTCTTGGAAGAAATGATATCTGTGAGGATTTTCAGTCAGGATTTAGACCATACCATAGTAGCCTACTGAGACAGCTCTCATTAGAGTCACAAAATGATTTTATCATCCGATCGTGGTTCTCTCTATTAGGGTTACTTGATCTTATAGTGCTGCATTTGACACAATTGACCACAACATTCGGTAACACTTTAGAATAAGGTTCCTTCGTTAATGAATAACTACACAAGAACCAATGAGTAACACTATTAGTAACTAGTAACTTTTAATAACTAACAAAAAGCTCTGATTAAGGAGTAGCCTAAGTAATAGCGCACAGATGAAAGTGGTAGTTCACTGTATAATCAATAAATACTATTTTTTGAATGCTTACCAGAGAACTTCTGAAAAAGTTTATTAACAATATTATTACCTGAAAAAAAAAACTCTGATTAACGAATTAGTAAGTAATAGCAGACAGATGAAAGTGGTACTTCATACTTCTGTGAGAATTATTAATTATTTGGATCCGTATTATAAAGTGAAGATCATGGGAACTAACTAGTAATGGTCAGGCCAATCACATCGTGTATAGAGTCGGCGGGCGGGCTTAACATAATGACGACAGTTGTGACGGTTCACTGCTGTACTTGAAAACAAAGAATGGCTGCTGCTGGCGAAAAGCTGTCTTTCGATTCGGCTTTGACTGCTACTCTGGATGATTTGAACTTAAGCTTTTTTAAGCTTAAGCTTTTAAAGAACGGCACTTCAGTCATTAAAAAAAAGAGATGTGTTCAGAGTTTTGCCGGATATGGTAAAAGTTAATATATCAACTTCCTCCGCTGGTGGGAAAACGCATGGGACTCAGCCGTCACCTTCTTCGTTGCTCTGATTGATTGTAGCGCTATCCAATTGCGTGCAGAGAATTTAAAAGACAACCGTTTATCCCGCCCTTTCGGATTGAGCCCTGACAATGATGAGTTCCCAGACCTAACATCTTGGTGTAGGTCTAGCACGCCAGGCTACACATTCTGTTCATTATAAGTTAAAGGAACATTTCACCCATTGCAACATTAATCTTTATTGAAAGTGGATAATATATGTAGTCGAAATGTAAACAATATTTTTTAATTTGGTGCCCTCTTGACCGAGAAAAGAGAGAAAATAACCAAGGGGCGCATTTGTATTAAAAGACTACAGGTCCCACAATGCACCGCATTGCACAGCTCCAGAAGCCACACCCACTAATCCGGAACAGCGCAAACAGAGAATTCACTCTTCCGTCTACAAGGCTAACATTAGCTGTCACAGGAGTTTGAAATTCATTTCACACAAAATGTCTTGGCTGTGGCGAGCAGGACGATCGAGGGCGAGGGATGTAAGAGGATGGCGTGTTGCGCGAGGCCGGTGGCGTGAGTGATAATGTAAGAGACCTGTGAGGCGCGCGCCGGGCTCGCGTCTCTCACAGAGGAGCGAAAGCATAAAATGGGGAGCGACGACTGCAGATCGAGAGAGAAACAGGCCTGATTTTATGTTGTTTTGTTTCTGCAGTCGTCAATGAGTGGGTGCTGGCTTATACTTTCGTTTTGTATTTGTTCATTTTACTATTAAAATGTTTAAATGTTCCCCGGTTCCTGCCTCCTTCTTCCACAACAACAAACCCCGTTCACGTTACATTGGCAAATTATTAGTGAATAACTCCTTGTTTGTATTTATTTATGTTTGGTGAATTACTGCATGATACCTGGATGTTCTGTAGGCAAAACTACAGTATCACAACACAAACGTCCGTGAGCTCGTCTGATTCAGAGATTTCCTCCAGGAGAAATTGCCATCGTTGAAATTCTCTGCAGCAGAAAGACTCTGCGTCCGTAGGACGCAGGAGAGTACAGGCAACAGCAGGCTGCTAAGCTTGACCTAGTCTCAGCCTCAGACGTCACGCCCACGGAACGTTGGCTAAACGTCTGATGCATATGGTACACTTAACTGGAAACACTTCAGGAATGTCGAAGTCGTCATCTGATTGGTTGAATTTTATCGGATTTCCGGGGGGCGTCAGTGTCGCGTTTATTTTCGGTCCGCCGGGAAACAAAGCGCAGATGTGTGATTGCGGAAGAAAAACTGTTGTGTTTATATGAGTGGCCTATGTGAGTGACAATGAGCATTTCTCAAGATCAGCTAAACGTAGTTGTATGTCCCCTCCAATCTATTATGGAAGATCAAGTGAAGTACTTAATTGCGAAGGGTATCAGCTGCGTTTGTGGACAAACATGAAACAGACGCTGACATCGCAGCGGGCCGATTCAGTATTCATATATAGGTCGCGCACACTGGATTATAAGGCACATAAGATACTGCAGAGTCAAACGTTTGACTGGGTTTGCGTTATGCATCCACTAGATGTGCTAAAGGCTAAAGGGAATGTAGCGAGTGCGCGGTGCCGGAGGTGAGGCGTTTATTTAGTAGGCGTGAGCGCACTGGGGCGGGGACGTAACTTACATTCGTGTGACAAAGCGGACATAAGATGGACATGAGCGAGTTCGTGGGTGAATTTAATAACACGGAGCGTTGTTAGCCCCTCCGGTGACTGCTGACTGACTTGTTGCACACCGGTCTGTTGTTGTGGGGACATTTCCACGCCCCGAAACATGACGCTGAACGAAACGAACTGTAATTGGTTGTTTGACATGTCGGTCTAACGGCCTTATGGGCGGGCCTTGACCAAAGAAAGCTGCTATGAATTCCAGACCTTCAGCCGTCAGTCTGAAGGTCTGGCTACGCGAGACTAAGCTTGACCCAGTCCGGGCTTCTCGACCGACAGGCAGCCGCCTCCTGTACCTCCATCAGCCTCAGCTGCTCTAAACTATACTGTGGCTCTTAAAGACGGACACGAACATCGGATCCGAGCAGAAGAACATCAAAATCCTCTTCTTCCATATCATGTTTAGTTTCTTCCGTCATTGTCATAACTTACTATCTCCAAAGCGCTTGTTAGCTTAGCTTCCAAACAAGATGGCGGATATTGATTTCAGTTTCTGCAAGTGAAGTCCCACCCACTGATCTGTTATA